TTGAAGGTGCTCAATAAATACTTGCTGAACGAGCAAATGAATTGATGAATATGTTTCCTTACTGAGTACTTGTCTTAGCCTGAAGTTCTAATGAAGCAAATTCTTCTTGGGAAACCGAGTTAGCTCGCATTTGTAATGCTACATCTGCCTGTGGGTGTCATCTAATATTCTGACTTTGACAAGCAGTGATTTTGTGATTTTTATTTAAAATAATTATGTATGTAGAAATGTATGGAATTTAGGCAAAGAAAAACTTACCTGTGGAGCTATTCTGTTTTGAACTCTGTTTTGACTTTGTGAGTTATTTCTTTATTTGGCATGATGAACTGTCCAGAGAAAACACCCATTTGCTTAGGAAAACTGGGTTGGTTTCACTTGTCTTCTGAGTGTGACTGTGACCTCAGATTTCTGGAAAAACCAACGGAATTCAAATGTTAAAGATGTAAAGTGAAGTTATTTCACCTTTTATGGCGTCCGGGACACGTTCATTAAGATTCCCAACTCTGATAACTTTCTCCATGAAGCACTGGCCGCCCTGCCTCTGGGAGAAGGGTTTGCACATTGATCATGATGCTCAGCAGAATGTCGCGTGGGTAAAATATTTGGTAAACATCATCTGCTGACCTCAGAGGTAGGGATAACATCACAGTCACTGGTCGTAAAACAGATGTGTTGTTTTCCTTTGGACTCATTTAATGTTAGCCAATATACAGTACTCACTATGGGCAAAGTAATTCACTTTTTACATGATTTACTGAGTACCTTCCATGCGCCAGAAGCTGTGTTGTGTACCTCTGGACAGACAGGGTGAATGAGATGCAGCCTTTGCCCTGGTGAGCTTGCAGGCCGCTGGGAAGATGAGCCGTGCACACGTGCTGTAAGACAGATGCTGGATCTGTCCGAGGGAGCAGAGAAGCCGTCTTGAAACAAGTAGCATCTGATCTGCACACGGTTTCAGTAGACAGACTGTGTTAATAGGACTTTCTCCGCTTACTCAGTGCAGAGATGTGCTCTCTCGGGCTCCCTCACTCACTGAGGTTCACTGCCAGCTCCACGGGGAGCAGGAAGGGCACGGGAGCAGTCTCTGCCGCCACCCAGGCAGGCTGCACGGAGAATCGGACACCGCCCTTTCTTGTCCCCTCGTCCCCTGATCTGCACTTTGGTCACTAAGCTCGCCTCAGTCTTTGCCTCCATAGCAAAGGCAAAGGGTCTGTGTATCGCCATCTCACTCCTCCAGCTGAGGAACAAAACAGATCCAGAGACAGAGAAGCATGGAACAGACTGAGGAACCTCAGAGGGAAATGGCTGGGGAAGAGATTAACCAAGATTAACCAAAGAGCTTGCTTGCATCATGGCCCATGGACACAGACAATAGTGTGGTGAAGGTGGTGGTGGGGGGAGACATCTGTTGTACTTGCAACAGTAAGAAGAAATTTTAAAAAATAGAGTCTGGCTTGGCGAGCCTCTATTCATCGGTAAGCTGCCTGCTGCACAAAGCGCATACCAGCCACCTCGCAGGCTGCCTACCAGCCCCTGGATACGTGTGTTTGGCTTAGGGTCTCGTTCCTGCTGTCAGTCCATTGTGTCCGGGGAGACGGGGTCACGTGGTACGGAGCAGAGCTTCTGGAATGGCAGCGTGTCTTTGAATCATCGGGGACCTTGTAAAATTGCAGCTGATTCAGTAGGTCTCGGCGTGACATGAAGTCTTGGTTTGCAACAAGCTCCCAGGTGCTGCTCCTCTGAGCACAGGCAGAGAAGTGAGGTGAGAGCGTGGTGACCCGGTGTGACTGCAGTTACCCGGAGGGCAGGCTCTCTGTGGAGGTCTGTGCTTGTGAGAGGGCACTGCCTGTGGAGGAATAGGTGTCAGTAAATGAATGAGGAGGATGTCTCCGTGTGAGTTAGGCAAGGCTGCTTTCCAATAGAGTAAAGGCCAGAACGAATAAGGCAGCCTCAGACCAAAAAGTCAGTATTTAGAGCATTCGGGTGTAGTCTGAAGAATTAGGCTGTTGGGGTTGGCTGTTCGCCCTTTTACTGTTTCATCCAAAGCAAAGCAAAGCAAAGCAATAACTACTTTTTCGTGTTTTCAGCGAGAGGCAGGATTCATCTCCACTTGAGAGCTTGATGCAAGACTCCTTCCACAATTGGCTGCCAAGTCTGTGTTGATATGAGGCGAGGCAGCGGGATCCGCAGTAGGATGTGGTTGTTCAGTATGAGAAATGGATAGGAGTCCCTCGTATGGACACCCAAGGCAGATGCTGGATTGTTCTGGTCCCTAGGAGAATCCCTCCTCATGGTCTTCATGAGAGAGCCATAGAAGTGATTGCTCAGCATGTGGCCCCCGAAATCCTTGAACCATGGTAATGTCTAACATTCATAGAATGGATCCCAGTTTCAAAGCGTCGTTACCTTCACCCTTCTGTTCATTTCATAAAGGAAGCCTAAGACTGACTGACTAAAACCCAGAGTTATTTTATGTGACGGTGCTAGAGTCCAGTTACTGAGAATTATGAATCATGTCTACGAAAAGGGAACTGAATTAAGTATTTAGATCCTTCTGACATAATGGCAGCTACATGAGGAAAAGCAGAGTCTTCTCACAGCTTCCTCATGTCATTCATTACATTTGAAAATTACACTCATTTAGGCCCCAGGTAATGTCTAGATCTTTTCTTCCCAGTTCAGTGACATGGAGGGATGATCACTTCATATTCTTTTATTATCTGGCGTTCACATGCTTTAAATTTGTCTTCTTTAAACCTGACATATTTTCACTTTGATGATCAGTGAAAAGCAAAAAAATGGTTATTTTAAGTGACTGGCTAGTAAAGTCCTTTAAAAAAAAAAATCCAAGGATTATCTTAATTTTTATATGAGTAAAATCTTGAAAAAGATTTTTAAAGTTCACCTGATGTTGGTAATCATGTAAAATTCCAACTTACTGGATAGTTTAGTTACATGACCTTCTTTGACTTCTATAATTTGGTTTCCGATCGTCAAAGAAAGAATGCTATTTCCTTTGAGAAAGTGAGAAGAAAGCTGGCCTTGGAGTCAGGCTGACTTCTTGTTTCAATTTCTTTTTAACATACCTGCGATGTTACTCTGGGCAAGTCATTTAATCTCTGCGAGCCTTAGTTTCCTCTGTAAACTTGTGACCATACCTACTTTGCAGAATTATTTTGTTGATGAAACCAAGTAATGCCTGTGATGCAGCAGTATAAACATTACCGTGTAACAGTTTCAACAGATAGATAAACACGAAGATTTTTTAAAAAATGTAGACAAAATATTACTTTGTTTTTAAGTAAATTAAAAGCAAAAGTAATTTTGTTACTTCATATTTGCATGGGAATAGCATTGTCTACTCTTTTTTTTTTTTAATATATTTTATTGATTTTTTACAGAGAGGAAGGGAGAGAGATAGAGAGCCAGAAACGTCGATGAGAGAGAAACATCGACCAGCCGCCTCCTGCACACTCCCTACCGGGGATGTGCCCGCAACCAATGTACATGCCCTTGACCGGAATCGAACCTGGGACCTTTCAGCCTGCAGACCGACGCTCTACCACTGAGCCAAACTGGTTTTGGCGCATTGTCTACTCTTGACATAAGTGAAAATAGCAGTGCTTTTGAGTTATGATTATAATTGACACTCAATGTATATATTGGAATCAACATTATTAAAAAAAAAAAAAGTAGTTTTCCACAAAGTAAGTAGTGACTTTGATTGTTTACCAAAAGAAATTCTAACTGATTTTCAAACTGTAGTCAGTAAATTCACTCATGTGAAGTAATTAATATGCAGAAATTTGTTGAAGAATCATACAGTGTTGTCTCAGATATTTTATTAACTATAATCAAACACGTCAGAAAGTCAACAACTGCCCATGTTGTTGTTGTTTTTTGCTTTGTTTTTTAAATAAATTCAAGTTTGTTTATTGAACAGAAATTTCTTTTTTTGTGTGTTAATTCTCACCAAGTATATTTTTCTATTGATTTTTAGAGAGTGGAAGGGAGGGGAAGAGACACAGAGAAGCATTGATATGAGAGAGACAACATCTATTGGTTGCCTCCCAAGGCCAGGGGTTGAGCCTGCAACCTAGGTATATGTCCTTGCCCAGGAATCAAACCTGGGACCCTTCATTCCAAAGGCCAACACTATCTACTGAGCCACATCAGCTAGGGCTTGCCCATGTCTTCTGAGAGTGAGGACCAGAAATATTGTGTAAGAATTAGTTACGCCACTGTCACTCAGAATCAAGGAAGTCAGGTAAGTCTTCCATGTCACATAGAAGACATACGTTTTCAATGAACAGACACACACACACTCTCACATACACCGCCACACAGTGAAAATACAATGATATCTTTTTGATGATTTCCCACCTAACAGGCCACGGAACCACCAAGACTGATACATTTCAATAGGACCCTTTGTATTATTCTTATAATTAGCCTCCCTTAGATTAATAGCAAAAACAAAACAAAACAAAAAAACTATCCATTATCTCTGGTGTGCTTCATAGCAAATGCAGTATGTCTGCCAGTGTGTTTTCACTTGAGGAAGCATCTGGGGCGTTTTGATGTTTATAAAAGCGAATGAAGCCATTGATAAAGAGAGCAGTGGAAATGCTTGGCGACTTGGTTCAACAGAAAGTGAATTGAAAGGCCTCCTGCGTGTGTGGATGTGGATCAGGTTGCGTTCTGTTTCGATCTGGGAGATTTTCGTAAGACCAAGTTCATTTCCAGAACGTGCCCAGTGTTTAATTCCAGTGTCGCCTGCAAACAGCTGAACCATCCATGGCAAAGCACTGCGTTGCTCCTCCGATAACAGAACCGGCCAGCACAGGGCATTGTGGTTTGCGTCTTGGGAGACGGGGAGATCCTGAAAAGCTGGGGTCCCGATAACCGTTTAGCTCATTTCCCCCGCGTCACCGTTCTTAGCCTTTGGACTCTTGCAGGCATTTCTCTACGAGTGCTTAACCCTGCGTTTCTTTACACAGATCCAGTGCCCCGCTTGCCAATTCGTCTGGTGTTTTAAGTGCCACTCTCCTTGGCATGAAGGTGTTAACTGCAAGGAGTACAAGAAAGGAGACAAACTGTTGCGCCACTGGGCCAGCGAGATTGAGCATGGCCAGCGGAATGCCCAGAAGTGTCCAAAGTGCAAGGTGAGCTCGCCTGTCGGTCGGTGGAAAGGACAGACATTTGCCTGTCACTGGGTAATATTACTACAATGTGGAAGTGAATTGTAGGCATAACTATTATTGCAGGTTAGAAAAAGAATAGGTGCTGTTTCATTTTAGAGGAACAATGGTATTGCATAACTAAATTGAAAAATTTGGCCGAAACCGGTTTGGCTCAGTGGATAGAGCATCGGCCTGCAGACTGAAAGGTCCCAGGTTCAATTCCGGTCAAGGGCATGTACCTTAGTTGTGGGCACATCCCCAGTAAGGGGGTGTTCAAGAGGCAACTGATTGATGATTCTCTCTTCCTCTCTGTGAAAAATCAATAAAATATATTTTTTTAAAAATTGAAAATTTTGTATATGAGCAGTGTGTATGTATGCTTTTTTCTTTCTTTTCTTTTTTTTTTTTTTTTCATGACATTTCAAATTTTAGGATGGCCATCCTATCGGGTCTAGTAATAATTAATGTCGTTTTTAAACATTCGTTTAAAATCTTGCTTGGCGTTGACTTGTATTGACATAACCTTCAAACATGTGGTATCTACAGAACGTGTGAAGTGCAATTAACAAGTTTTGCTTGAAAAAGTTTGTGTTTGGTTTGGTTTTTGTTGCAAAACTAGGGCTAAGAAGATGGCGGATGAAGAGCATATTCAGCACTGCATGCTTTACGAGTTCCAATTAGGAAGAAAAGCAAGTGAGGCTGCAAAAAACATCTGTAGTGCTCTTGGTCAAGATGCAGTTAGCGCCAGAAAATGCCAGCGTTGGTTTGAGAAATTTCGCAAGGGAAATTTTTCGTTAGATGACAAGAGTGGTCGAGGCCATGTGTCCAATTTTGATCAAGAAGCTCTTCAAGCTCTTTTGGTGCAAAATCCTCAAATTACCCAACAAGAGCTTGCGACAATTTTAAATTGTTCACAAAAAACAATTTCCAATCAATTGCGTGCACTTGGCAAAGTCCAAAAGTTTGGAAAATGGGTTCCTCATGAGTTGACCGACAACAACCGTAATCAAAGAGTCACAATTTGCAGTTCGCTCCTCTCTCGTCAAAACTGTTTGCAGTTTTTAGAGCAAATTGTTACCGGAGATGAACAATGGGTGCTGTATGTTAATTTGAAAAGGCGGCCTCAATGGTTGGACAAAAATGAGGCTCCGCAGCCCACGCCAAAACCTGACTTGCATGCGAAAAAAGTGATGTTGTATGTTTGGTGGAATTTTAAAGGAATTCTTCATTATGAACTTTTACCATCTACCCAAACCATTACAAGTGCAGTGTATAGTGCCCAATTGGAAAGGTTAGCCCAAGCTTTAAGAGAAAAAGAACCCGCGCTGATTAATTGGAAGGGCGTAATTCTTCACCACGATAACGCACAACTGCATACTGCAAGAATCACTGCTGAAAAACTGTGCCAGTTGGAATGGGAAGTTCTCCCTCAACCTGCATATTCTCCTGATATTGCCCCTTCCGATTACCATTTGTTTTGTTCTTTGCAAAACTTTCTTCTTGGAAAAAATTTAATAATGAAGAATGCCTCAAAAATGCATTGACCGAATTTTTTGCATCAAAATCACAAGAATTTTACAACAGAGGGATTAAAATGCTTCCTGAGCGTTGGGCACAAGTAGTAGAAAACAACGGCAACTATATTGTTGATTAAATTTTGTTGTATAGTTTAAATAAATTCGATTTAAAAAAGTAATAGAAAACACATTAATTATTACTAGACCTAATATATAATAAAAGGCTATTATGTAAATTGAGTGAAATATGCAACGGAATGACTAATCACTATGATGCACACTGACCACCAGGGGCAAACTCTGAGACTTCACAGGAGCTTCCCACTGCTGGTCAATGCACTCCCACACGGGGAGTGCTGCTCCTGCCTCCGCAGCTGCACTAAGGATGTCTGACCCCGTGGACATAAGCCATCAGTTGAACATATCCCTAGAAGGGAAAGGCAGCCAATTGGAATGACTTTACTGAATGCATTGAAAACTTCCCGCGGTTTTAACAACTATGCAGAATTAAGGAGAAGCATGCGTGCGGGTTCCCTGGTGAGGCAGTGGCTATCAGGCTGGGGCTTGAAAGGGGATTTCCTTCGACATAGCTGAAAAGAGAGGAGCCAAGGAAGGTGGAATCTGTTATGGGACCACCTTGTAGCAGAGACTCTACTGTCTGGTGAGATTCAAGTTCCACTGCATTTACGTCCGTTTAAGTCATATTTTATTGCCAGTTTTGAATACTACAAATGGTTTCAGTTTCCTTTTAGGCATATGGCTTTGGAAACAATATCAGGACTCCCATGTTTTTTTGTATTGTGGTAAATTTGTCTGGTGTTTTTTTAATTTATGTTTTGTTTGAAAGTTTGAAATACTTAAACTATGCTGAAGTATATACTCATTGCGATTCTTTAAACTGAAGTAATCTATTTTATTGTTTTCAGAAAGTGGAAACCACATATAATTTTATTGTTCTACACATATGTTTTAAAGTATTATTTCTTTAAAACAAATTTTTAAGTAAATATTTATTTTAATTTATTGTAAATGTGTAGCAAAACCCCCAGCTAGATATTCCTAAAAGGCCTGAAAATTTTATATTTTAGAAGAATAGAAAAATCTAGGTATTACTGTCCAATATAATACTAAACTTTATTAAAGATTGCAGTTCTGAAGCCTTTGAGAATGTGGAGGGGGGGTCCTTGGTAAGAATGGTTAGTAACCCAATCTTCTGGTTGTTTCTCAAATGGTTTAATATTAGTTCATTAGTGTTACTTGTTGTAACCAGATTTGGGCTGTCATCTATATCATGTTTTCCCTTTATGAAATTTTAAATTGTTAAAACCCCATTTTCCCAAGGCCAGATTTCTGCCCTCTTAAGTATATATAAATATATTTTTTAGCAAATGTACTTCCAAAAGAGTAGCCATATCTTCTGGCCCTTCAACTGATAATTTGACGTAAGCCAGTTTAAACAGGAAGTTAAGAAACAATTATATAAAGAAGGCAGTATATAAAAGGAAGCATTGTCTCTTCAAAAATTTATTTCTCAAGTAAATATTGCAACATATTACCATGATTAAACATAGGTAGTGAATCCATATATGTCTATGATAGTTATCTCTAATTTTTTAAATGTGTGAAATAGTTCTTGATTAGAAATAAATAAAATGTCCCAGTGGAACAGAAAGCTATCCCATTCTAGCTCTGGGGCTGTTTAAACATTCTACTTGTATACACAACCTCTAAGGATTTGACTGTTATTTATTTTTTTTTCCTTCCTCATGTAAAAGTTAAATGTTGCTCAGAATATGGGCTTACTAAAGCAAAGTTGATTTAATATTTCTCAAAATGGGTAGCTTTCTTTTTATTTAGAAAATTGAAGAACAATCCCTCAAACACTCCTTTCCCAATGAGATATTTTTATACAAAGATAAGAGGAATATTTATGCCAACATTTATGTATTGTGGTACAAGTATAGTCACAGAACTAGATGGCATGCAGCTGACCACCTTAATTTTCCTCTTATCTAAATAATCCACATCTCAAATTAGGACATTTTCTAAAACAGTGAATAGAGATAAATAATTAGGAAATTATACATTTTGGCAGGCTAATATATAAGTAATGTGCTTTATGAATTAATTAGCAATTGAGTCATTTATTTTATTCCAGGGTCAACATACATATTCCCTATTTTGAGGTAACATTGATTATACTCATGTGATTTATTTTTTTTAAAGAAATGCCAAGATATGAATAGGGAGTGCTGAATTCTGATATGCCATCTTCATTTTATTCATGGAAATGCCTTTGTACAATGCTCTGTGTTCCTTTTTGTTCTTACCACAATAACAATGATTATAATAATAAAAGGATAATATGCTAATTACGTAGACCAGACGTCCTTCTGAACATTCTTCCGGACAAAGCCACAGCAGGCGGGGGCAGAGGCAGAGGCAGCAGGGGCCCCCAGCCACAGTGGGCGAGGGCAGGGGCTGGGGCCAAGGCTCTTGCATGAATTTCGTGTATTGAGCCTCTAGTATCTATAACAATACTGTCTGATAAATACTGATAGTTGCTACATGTCAGTCTCCATTGTAGTTTTATACTTACGTGTCCCTTCAAATCCTTAACCCTCTGAGATACTGAGTTCCAGTGTGCCATCTAGATTTTAATTATTCTGTACCTTTTGGTGAAACTCTTAAGATTTTTCACAGTAATGTAGTATGTAAGTTATATTTGTTGTCTCATTTAATTCTCAAAAGAAAGTTATGAGGAATGGGTAATTACCCATTTCAAAATGTAGAAACAGTTTCAGAGAGGTTATGTAACTGGAAAGAGCAGTCAGGGGAAAGTGAATTATATTCATTCATAATTTATTGTGATTTTGGAATTAAGGAAATGTACTTGTCATGCTATTTCCCCTTAGATATTTTATTCTCTTGAATCCTGTAATAGTTGCTTTGGGCAAGAACGTATTTTCAGAGAGAATGATTAATTTGCCCTGTTCACGTAAAATTAGCACAAAAGCTGCACCTGTGGGCCCTTCTATCTGAGCTACGAATGCTGAAGGACTTGGACTGTTAATGTTGGATCTCACAGTCCTGCAGTCCTCTGGTATCACACAAGCCACTGCAAAATCACATTCAGGGAGAGGCCCCTGACTGCCTTCAAATAGTGCCCATTCAGAAAATAAAATAGCTTCTCCTTCAGTACGGATTATCTGTTTTAACTCTCCAGACTGCTGGAAGTCATTACTTTCAGAGCAGTGTTATCAGTGCTATCATTTTCTTGTACCAACGTCTAGACCTTAGTTATGAGGAAAGTCTGATTGTTTGGTGGCAAATACTTTCTAGGATCTAAATGGTATTGCACCCAATGCCCCATCTTTATCACAAACCGGAGGGCCTGTGCATGCAATTCATGCACTGCGGGGGCGGGTGCTTAGCCCAGCCTGCGCCCTCTCGCAGTTTGGGAGC